TTAAACACTCCTGCAGTTGAGAATAGTGACACAACTTATTTGCAGCTGAAAGATAAAAACTTTTGAGAATATGTTTTTCAGCTAAAAAGAGACAGACTCCGCCTTTGAACCTTCCCTTTTTCCCTCCCAGGAAGGCAATCCAAGGCCTGGAAAAACAGCAGCCACATTGTAACCACAAGAACAAAAGCTACATGGCTAAGGAAGTACCAGAAAACTGACAAGAGCCTTGCACTGCCTTCCTCTGAACATTTCTTCTATTTGTTTTTGAAACACAGTCTGGCTCTGTTGCCCAGGCTGGGGTGCAGTAGTGCGATCTTGGCTCACTGCCACCTCCACCTCCCAGGTTAAAGCATTTCTCCTGCCTCAGCCTCCAGAGTAGCTGGGACTACAGGCATGTGCCACCACACCTGGCTAATTTTTGTATTTTTAGTAGAGATGGGGTTTCACCATGTTAGGATCATCTCGATCTCCTGACTGTGTGATCCACCTATCTCCGCCTTCCAAGTGCTGGGATTGCAGGCATGAGCCACCGTGCCCGGCCTCCTCTGCACAAAATGAACCTATTACTTCATTTTTGCCCACTGCCAATACCTGTCAAGTCTCCATAGACAAGCCTGGAGCATGAAAGTCTGAAGTCCCGTCTGCCTCAGCTGACCGCCTCCCATCCTGCACTTTTGTTCGCCATTGTCCCTGATTGCCCAGCAGAGCTTCCCCACACAAGCCCCTCACCCAACCCTGCCATCTTAACTGTTCTTATGATAATGTGAATATCTCTCACCCATCCGCTCTTCTGTCTCATCCCCACCCGCCATTGTAACTAAGCTTGTGGTCATGTATACTCCTTGCCCCTACCCCCACCACTGTAACTGATCTTACTCTGCAACACCCCTACCCCTGAAAAAACTACCCCAACCTATAAAGCCAATTCCCATCTTAACCCCTTCGCCTTTCTTGGATTTGGTCCACTTGCACTCCAGCGAGAAATAATAAAACGGCTTTGTTGCCCACACAAAGCCTCTTTGGAAGATCTATTTATTAAATGCATTTAATATTTGGTACTATTGGACGCAAATAATGCCACCTCCTCCACCTCTTAGAGCATCACACTTCCCTAACCTAGAAACAACCCCCAGCCTTATCGCCAGGGAGGTGGATTTGAGAGCTGTTTTCCCACCTCCTCCTCCTTTGGCTGCCTTGTGAATCCATCTTTTTTCTTTTGCAAAACCCGTGTCACAATGATGGACTTGCTGTGCACAGGCAGAAGGGACCGAGACCTGGCCAGTGACACCGCGGATGGCCACAGCTGCCTGCAGACAGCAACGGCTGCCTCTTTCCTTCTGCCTTCCAAGTCACACATAAAAGCCCCTTTTGGCCAACTCTTCCTCTAGGAAGCCCCTCCTCAAGGGGCACCAGAACTGGTAAGGAAGGCAGAGAGAGGAAGCTCAGGATGGGGGTGAAAAGCCAGGAATGTGGAGGCTGACTTCTGCTCAGCTTTGCTCCCTTGCTTACAGAGACTGGACCCCAGGCCATCAGCCACAGGCCTCGGGATAAACCTTGGGCCAAGGAAAACAGCTGGATGAATCCTTGGAGACCATGAGATCCACCTTCTCACTCTGCTGACTGGGAAATCGGGCTCTGACTCCTGCTGTGGATTGTGGCAGGTCCCAGGCCACTAACTCTGTCCTCGGTAGCCAGCACCACTGCAGCCTGGGCCTCAGCTGGTGGAGCAAACCGGGCTCACCTACTGCCAAGCAACTGCAAAAAGGGCACTCGGCAGTTGTGGGCAGAGCCCCAGGCCAGGACGTCGGCCTGTCTGGCCTGTGGACAATTGCTCAGCCTGCAGCTGGGGCCTGGCTAGGGCAGACATGCGGCCGGGTGCACAGCAGGGAGGGCACCTGCCCATCGCCACAGCCATCCTCCTCCTGGGCACACTCAACAAAAGGCACTCCTTAAAATAAAATAAAATATATGGTCAAATATTCCAGGCCAGGTACAGTGTCCCATGCCTATAACCCCATCACTTTGGGAGGAGACAAGTGGATCACTTGAGGTCAGGAGTTAAAGACCAGTCTGGTCAACATGGTGATACCCTGGTCTCTACTAAAAACACAAAAATTACCCCGGCGTGGTTGCATGAGCCTGTAAACCCAGGGCTAAGGTGGGAGAATCACTTGAACTCGGGAGGCAGAGGTTGCAGTCAAGGGTGACAGAGCAAGACTCAGTCTCAAGAATAAATAAATACATAAATAAATGTTTCAAACATACACAAATCTGTAGGAGCCCGTATGCCAAACACCTGGGTACCACTCTCTGGGGTTATCAGAACATACTCATATGTAGTGGTACTTGCTTCAGACTTTTTCTTGTTTCATAAACTAAAGCAAACTTATATATGAAATAAAGCCCCCAGAACCTCCCCCTACAGGCTTATTCCGCTACCCGTCCCCAGAGGTACCCACTCCTTTGAATTTAGAGTTCGTGACTCCTGTGCAATATTTTATAGTTCTGCTACTTATGTGGATGTCTTCAAATATATTTTAAAATGTTAGCTAATACATGTATGTCCTATTATATATTATATGTGACTTGTACATATTATTCAAAACTTGCTTTTTTTTTTTTTTTTTTTTTTTTTGACAGTCGCTCTGTCTCAGGCTGGAGTGCAATGGCACCACCTCACTTACCACCTCTGACTCCCTGGTTCACGCGATTCTCCTGAGTAGCTGGGATTACAGGCACGCACCACCACGCACAGCTAATTTTTGTATTGTTATTAGAGACAGGGTTTCACCGTGTTGGCCAGGATGGTCTCCATCTCTTAACCTCATGATCCACCTGCCTTAACCTCCCCAAAGCGCTGGGATTATAGGTGTGAGCCACCGCACCCGGCCTCTCTTTCTCATTTCTATGCCCAATTCCCTCATTCCTATTGATGCTAAACCTCTTGCTATGTTTCCAGATCACATAATTCAAGTTTCCTTTTCTTTTTTTTTCTTTTCTTTCAGATGGAATCTTGCTCTGCTTCCCAGTCTGGTGCACAGTGGCACAATCTCGGCTCACTGCAACCTCCACCTCCTGGGTTCAAACGATTCTCATGCCTCAGCCTCTCGAGTACCTGGGACTACAGGCACGTGCCATCTCGTCCGGCTAATTTTTGTGTTTTTAATAGAAACGAGGTTTCACCATGTTGGCCAGGCTACTTTCAAACTCCTGACCTCAGGTGATCTTCCCACCTTGGCCTACCAAAGTGCGGGGATCAGAAGTGTGATCCACTGTGCCTGCCAAGTTAACTTTTCTATGAATTACATGTTCATATTGTTTGCTCACTTTTCTTTCAGTTAGTTGACTTTTAAAAATATTAGTTTATAAGAATTCCTTATATATTCTACATATGCATCCTTTGCTGATTATACGAATTGCAAATACCTGCTCCTGATCTACGGTTTCTTTTTAAACTTTGTCTGCAATACGTTTGGTCAAACAGAAGTCTAAATACTTTGGCGAAATCAAATCTATCACCATTTTTCTTTTGAGCTTATGCTTTTAATATTTCTTGCTTTTGAGACAGAGTAGCTACGACTACAGGCACACAGCAGACCAAAAAGCTAAATTTGTGGAATGAGATATATATATATACATATGTAATATGGAGAGACAGGGTCTTGCTATGTTACCCGGGCTGGTCTGGAAGTCCTGGGCTCAAGGAATCCTCCTGCTTCAGCCGACCAAAGTGCTGGGATTACAGGCGTGAACCACCACACCCAGACACTTTCAGTACTTTAAGAAATTACTTTCTATGTACTATGGACTGAATGTGTCCCTTCAAAATTTATATGTTGAAATCCTAGCCTCCAATGTAATGGTGTTAGGGAAAACTAAATCATTTCATTTCATTCAATGAGTAGCTTGTGTGGCGGGGGCTGTGTGGTGCGTGCATGAGATACAGTGTGTGTGGTGTGATGCGTAGGGAGTACGTAGTGTGTGTGTGTGTGTGTGTGTGTGTGTGTGTGTGGTGGTGGGGCATACTTGATGGTGTGGTGAGTGTGTGCAGCGTACTGTATATGGTGTATGGTATGTGGTGTCTGTGATGTGTCTGTGGTATGTGTGGAGTGTGATGCAGTGTGGAAGGGTTGAGTGTGCATGTTTTGTGTGCATGCTGTAGTGTGTATGGGGTGTGTGTGGTGTGTAAGAGATGTGTGTAGTGTATGCACGTATGATATTGTGTGGTGTACATGGGTTAAATGTGTGGTGTGTGTGAGGTGGGCATGGTGTATATGTGGTTTGTGGTGTGTGAGATGGGTATGATATGCATGCTGTGTGTGGTGTGTATGGGATATGTGTGTGGTGTGTGTGATGTACATGAGATTAAGTGTGTGGTGTGTCTGAGGTGGGCATGGCATATATGTGGTGTGTGATGTGTGACATGGGTATGATATGTGTGCAGTGCATCTGAGGTATGTGTGGTGTGTGTGAGGTAGGTATGGTATGTGTGTGCTGTGTGTGTGGTGTAGATGGGTTAAGTGTGTGGGGTGTGTGAGGTGGGCATGGTACATATGTGGTGTGCGGTGTATATGGGTTAAGTGTGCCTGGTGTGTGAGGTGGGTATGATATGTATGTTGTGTGTGGTGTGTATGGGGTATGTGTGTGGTGTATGTGAGGTGGTCATGGCATGTGTATAGTGTGAGGTGGGTATGATGTGTGTTGTGTGTGCTGTGTATGGGGTATGTGTGCGGTGTGTGTGAGGCGGGCATGGTATGTGTGTAGTATGAGGTGGGTATGATATGTGTGTTGTGTGTGGTGTGTGTGTGCTGCATATGGGTTAAGTGTATGGGGTACGTGTGTGGTGTATGTGAGGTGGGCATGGTGTATAACGTAGTGTATGGTGTGTGAGGTGGGTAGATATGTTTGTTGTGTGTGGTGTGTATGGGTTATGAGTGTGGTATGTGTGCAGTGAGCATGGTACGTGTGTGGTGTATGTACATATGCGCACACATGCATACCTGTGCACTGCAGATGACAGGCCGGCAGCCCGGGACACACAGCGGTGACCAGCTCAGCCAAGGCAGAGCTCTGGGCGGGAGTGGCCAGGCACCTGGTAGCTCAGGATCTTGGATGCACTAAGAGCCTAGGAAGAGAGAACAAGCTGTGTCACCATCTCCACCCAAGTTCATCACTAACATGAACCTGTAAGATGCACTGAAACTGTTCCACTTCCGATTAAATCCAGAAACAGCCGGGCGCGGTGGCTCAAGCCTGTAATCCCAGCACTTTGGGAGGCCAAGGCGGGTGGATCACGAAGTCGAGAGATCGAGACCATCCTGGTTAACATGGTGAAACCCTGTCTCTACTAAAAATACAAAAAATTAGCTGGGCATGGTGGCACGTGCCTGTAACCCCAGCTACTCAGGAGGCTAAGGCAGGACAACTGCTTGAACCCAGGAGGCGGAGGTTGCGGTGAGCCGAGATCGCGCCATTGCACTCCAGCCTGGGTAACATAACAAGAGCGAAACTCCGTCTCAAAAGCAGAAACAAACACTCCAGATGGGCTCAGCACAGCCAAAGTTGGGGGATCTGTCCTCAATGTTCTCCTTCACCGTCTGCAGCCAGATCTACCACCAGCAGCCTTCCAGGCAGTGCCTGCCTTGGGGAAGGGGCCTGGCACAGGAGCAGGCCCCCACCGTGCCCCCAACCCGGCGCCTGCAGCCCAGGGACAACAGGGTGTCGGGTCTTTAATTGAGAAGTTTTTCCCTCTAGGCCTTATTATAAAGGGAAAAGGGAAGGAGGCGAAGATCCGGGCTCCGGTTCTCCAGGGACAGCGAACCTAGAGAGGACCCCAAACCAGCTCCCGCCTGGCATTGGGACTTGATGCCAGCGCCAAGCGAGGACGGGGGAATGCACCAGCGGCCCGCCCAGCCCAGCGACAGGACCCCACTGCCCCTCCACCCCCAGACAGCGCCTCTAGCCGGCGCCGCGTGGCTATCCACTGCGAGGCACCCCCCCGCCACGCCCACCCAACCACGGGATGCAACAGCCGCCGCCTAGTACCCACTGCGCCCACCCACCGGTCGTGGGAGAGGGAAGTGGCCGGCAGGAGAGAAGTTGGGCCGCTGGGCTGAAACCCAGATCCCATCAACAGCCTCCCCGCAGCCCAGCGGGGTCCACAGGGCAGCGCTCGGGAGCACTGGGGCTGCAACCTCCGGCTGGCCAGCCCGCCCCCACACATCCGGGTCCCTGCAGCGCCGCGGGAGGCCCCAGGTTGCCACCGCCGGTAACTGAGGCAGCCTGGGCCCCCCAGCTTACCTGGCCAGGGCACCCGGCTGCTTCAGCGTGCTGCCGTCCCCGCCCCGCCGTGCCCCGCCGTGCCCCGCCGCCGCCCGCTCGGTCGGTCTGCGAAGCAGAGCTCCTTGGCAAGCGCGCGCCCAGCCGCACACACCCAACCCGGCGCCTGCAGCCCACGGGCAACAGAGTGTGGGATTTTTAGTTTAGAAAATGTTTCCCTCTGGGCCTTATTATGAAGGGAAAGAGAAATGGGACAAGATCCGGGCTCGGGTTCTCCGGCCAAGGAACGCACCAGCGGCCCGGCCATCCTGGTGGGACCCAAGTGGGCGCCCTCGCTCCCCCACCACTACCCCTCACCCCCACCAGACAGCGCCTGTAGCCGCCGCCAAGTGGCCCGTCCCTGCGGTGCCACCCCTCCCGGGATGCGGCACCCGCCTGCGGGTCGTGGGAAGAGGAGGTGGCCATAGGAGAGGAGTGGGGCCTCCGGGCTGCACCCCCAGATCCCAGCAGCAGCCGTCCCACAACCCCGCGGAGTCCAGAGGGCAGCGCTCGGAGCACTTGGGCAGCCACCTACGCGCATCCCCCGACTCGTTCCGGTCCCTGAAGCACCCCGCCAGGTCGCAGGCTGCCACCGGAGAGTCGGGCAGCCCGGGTCCCGCAGCTTACCTGGCCAGGGCGCGGGGCTGTTCCAGCGCGCTGCCGTCCTCCCAGAGTCGCCGCCCGCTCCGTCCGCCAGGCCGAGCTCCTCAGCGAGCCCGCGCCGAGCCGCGCACACGTTCTGCAGCTGAGTAGCCGCCGGGCGTGAACCGGAAACGGCAGACGGCAAGCGCGCAGGGCCACCTTTACCGGGCACACGCGCACTCACCTGAGACACGGACCCCCAATCGCTCCCTTCCCTTCACCCTCCCTTGGGTTTCTGGGGCGGGAAAAGCTTCCCGGCCACACCCACACGGCGTGGCAGGAAGAGATGGAATACAAAGATGCGTCGGAGCCGGGAGTGTACAAGGCCCTGGCCCCCCTGGCCCTGCTGGGACAATAGGCAGAGCGGGCGGGTGCACCTGGAACCGGGGCCGCCGGGCTGGCCTCCCGGACTGGTGCTGGAGCTGGAGCTCAGGCGGTGGAAGGCGCGGCTTGCCGAATGCCTCGGGCCCTGGGGAGCACCCAGATTCCCGAGGCAAGTCCTGGCCCTGCTGGCTGGGGAGCTGCAGGGGTCTGGTCCCGCGGGTAGAGCCCTTGAACAGGAGACTCCCACCGAACCACCGCCGCCTCACTGCGCCCTACTCAACTCACTCGACCCGCCCCCCACCACCACCGCAATTGTAGGAGGCGACCCTCAGAAAACTCCATCCTGCAGGAGAGGCCCCCTGCTGCCCCCCCCCACTGCAGCTCCCCTAGGCGCATGCAAGACCCCAAGTATTCCCTACCGGTTCTCTCTAACCACCCCAGCACCCCGTTTCCGATACTCTGTGCTGCTTTAGCCCCCAATCCTAGGACCTCACTCCAGGCCATTCTCTCCTTGCTGTCCTGAATGGAGAGGACCCTGACCTCCGCGGGGCCCTGGGGAACACACACGTACCCAGGGGAGCCAGTCTTCTGCCCCCACAGCGCCAGCGATTCCCTGGGGGCCCTGGAAGGTGGTGCTGGAGACTGCGGTGTCACTTCGGCCCTCTGGCCCTTTTGGGGAATCCCAGGTAGATGTGGTAAACCCTGGAGACGCACAGGGTGCCTTGTCTGGGCAGAGCAGGGGCTCAGGTGCCTCCTTCCCTGAGTGATTTGCTCTCTTTTCTCCTTGTGGCTGGATTAGGTGAATCTGTGTCCGAAGTGGGGGGTGAAGGACAGGGGACCTAGGGGGTGAGGAGAGCCCATCTGCCTGCTGCCTTGAGGGCCCGAGCTGAGACCCTGAGAAGAAGGGGCTGACGCAAGCCGAATCCTGAGCTGCACTAGGGTTAAATGCAGTGTGGACTTGACCTCTCCACACTCTGCCCCCACCAAACACTCACAAATCCCCAGGGCCAGAGCTGCCAGTAGGGGCTGCTCCTGGTAGGGCAGCTTTATAGCCACAGGGCCAAAGGGGCAAAGGCAGAGCTGGGGCAGGTCAGCGAAGTTCGTGACCCCCTCCCCGCTCGGGTGAGCATACCTTCACTGCTTACTTTCCACCTTTCCATTCTGCTTACCCGGCCAAAACAAAGTTCACCCAGCCTGTGGCCCAGCCTTTCTCCAATGCCAATGGTGGGAAGCAACAATTACTAAGCAATGATTCCAAGAAGATAAATTCAGCCATCTTCTTGCCTGACCGTTATGTGGTCACATCCATAGGAAACCAGACAGCTGTGCCTGAAGCTGATCCACACAACCCCCCACCCCACCTCCTCAAACCCCAACCCCCATCTGTGTGAGCGTGTGCTGTCGAGGCAAGTTTATATGCTGTTCCTTCAACAGCCTCCTTTGAGATCTTCCCGTGGGCAGGCTCTGGGCCAGTCACTGAAATTAAACCCAGTCCCAGCACCTGGGAATGTGAGTGCTGAGTCCACAGTCCATAGGATGACAGATACAGCTACGGCCAAAACAGCGGCTGCCCACCTGTAATCCCAATGTTTTGGAAGCTGAAAGCAGAAGGCTCACTTGAGCCCAGCAGTTCAAGTCTGTAGTGAGCTATGATTATGCCACTTGCACTCCAGCCTTGGTGCAAAACAGAGCCCTATCTCTTTAAAAAATGAAATAAATTAAATAAATTTAAAAATAAAGGTACAGGCTGCCCCCAGCCTCACTCAGGACCCAAATCTGGTGGGCTTGAGCCACTGCCAGTATTCAGAGAATTTTAAAGAATCATTAGGACAAATAGCTAATGCATGAGGGACTAAAACTTAGATGACAGGTTGATAGGTGCAGCAATCCACCATACATGTATCCCCCACGTACAAAACCGACACATTCTATACTTGTATTCAGGAACTTAAAGTAAAATTTTAAATAAAAAAGGATCAGGCTGGGCGAGGTGGCTCATGCCTGTAATCCCAGCACTTTGCGAGGCCGAAGCCAGGCAGATCACGAGATCAGGATTCTAGACCAACCTGGCCACATGGCGAATGCCCGTCTCTACTAAAATACAAAAAATTAGCTGTGCGTGGTGGCAGGTGCCTGTAATCCCAGCTACTCAGGAGCTGAGGAAGGAGAACTGCTTGAACCCGGGAGGCAGAGGTTGTAGTGAGCCGGGTTGGTACCACTGCACTCCGACCTGGGCAAGCAGAGTGAGACTCAACCTTTGCGGGCGGGGGGGGGAAGAGCTAGGGGGATACAATAGAGTGGCTTCCTGTCTTTCTTGCTCTCTGCCACGTGAGGATACAAGAAGATGGCCCTCTGTGAACCAGAAGGTGGGCCCTCCCCAAAAACCAACCATGCTGACACCGTGATCTTGGACATCTAGCCTCCAGAACTGGGAGAAATCAGTGTTTGTTGTTTAAGCACCAGTCTATGGCATTTTGTTAGAGGAGCCCAAACTAAGACACTGCCCCAATCATAATGATGTCCCCTTACGTTTTCATCTAAATGCTTTCAAAGTTTCTGTTGTTGGTTTGCTTTTTTTTTTTTTTTTTTTAAGACAGAGTCACTCTCTGTCACCCAGGCTGCAGTGTAGTGGCACAATTTTGGCTCACTGCAACCTCTGCTCACGAGTTCAAGAGATTCTTCCGCCTAGCCCTCCCAAGTAGGCTGGGACTACAGGCACGCACCAACAGCCTGGCTAATTTTTTATTTTTAGTAGAGGTGGGGTTTCACCATATCAGCCAGGCTGTTCTCACTCCTGACCACGTGATCCGCCTGCCTCGGCCTCCCAAAGTGCTGGGATTACAGGTGTGAGCCACCACGCCCAGCCAGCTACACTACTCTTGGCCCCTCAATGACTACATGAATTTTCAGATCAGCCTGTCAAGTTCCAAAACAATTCTATTGGCATTTGTCCTGGGAATTGCTTTAATTTATGGGTTAATTCAGTGAGAAGTAATATGTTTATAGGATTGAGTCTACCATTCATAATATATATGGCATATATTTCCATTCTTCCTTTACATCTATGGGTAATTTTTATATTTGTCTTAGTCTTTTTGTAGTGCAAAACACCTGAGACTGGGTACTTTACAAACAACAGAAGTTATTCTCTCAGTTCTGGAGGTTGGAAGCAGAGATCAAAGCTTCAGCAGGTACAGTGTCCAGTGAGGGCCTGGTCTCTGCTTCCAAGATGGTACCTTGAATACTGGTTCCTCTGAAGCAGACAAATGCTATGTTCTCATGAGGCAGAAGGAACAGATTTGCTACCACCTCAAGCCCTTTATAAGGTGCTAATCTCATGCATGAGGGCTCACCCTAATGACTTACTCACTTCTGAAAAGCTCCACTTCTTAATACTATCATCCTGACGATTAAGTTTTTGCTTTTTTTTTTTTTTTTTAGACAGAGTTTTGCTCTTGTTACCCAGGCTGGAGTGCAATGGTGCGATCTCGGCTCACCGCAACCTCCACCTCCTGGGTTCAAGCAATTCTCCTGCCTCAGCCTCCTGAGTAGCTGGGATTACAGGCACGCGCCACCATGCCCAGCTAATTTTTGTATTTTTAGTAGAAAACAGGATTTCACCATGTTGACCAGGATGGTCTCGATCTCTTGACCTGGTGATCCACCCGTCTCAGCCTCCCAAAGTGCTGGGATTACAGGCTTGAGCCACCGCGCCCGGCCGTGATTAAGTTTTAACAGGAATTTGGGGAGACACATTCCGCTATAGCAATACTCTTCATGAAAGGTCTGTGTACATTTGGTAGATATATTCTCAGGGTTTGTTGCTATTGTGAATAGAATCTCTTTTTCTATTACAATTTTCTAATTTGTTACTTCTGATGTACAGGAATGCTAATAGTTTTTTTTAAAGTTGATCTTGAATTTTAAAAAACCTGCAAACCGTGTTACTAGTCCAAATAACGTATCTGTATATTCTTCTGGATTTTCTGCATAGACATTCATAAGGTCTGAAAATATAAGTAGTTTTCTTATTTCCAATTTAAAATTTTTATTTTCTTCGTATATTTCTTTCTTTCTTTCTTTTTTTTTTTTTTTAGACAGAGTCTCACTCGGTCACCCAGGCTGGAGTGCAGTGGCACAATCTTGGCTCACTGCAACCTCCACCTTCTGGGTTCAAGAGATTCTCCTGCCTCAGCCTCCTGAGTAGGTGGGATTACAGAAGCCCACTACCATGTCTGGCTAATTTGTATATGTTTGTTATTAGAGACAAGGTTTCACCATTTTGGCCTGGCTTGTCTCCAACTCTTGACCTCAGGTGATCTATCCACCTAGGCCACCCAAAGTACTAGGAGTATAGGTGTGAGCCACCACGCCTGGTTGATTTCCCTCCCTTCTTCCCTTCCTCCCTCCCACCCTCCTCGCTCTCTCTCTCTCTCTCTCTCTCTCTCTCTCTCTCTCTCTCTCTTTCTCTTTCTCTCTCTTTCTCTTTCTCTCTCTCTTTCTCTTTCTTGTTTTCAGAGTTTCACCCAGGCTGGAGTGCAGTAGCACAGTCTTCACACACTGCAACCTCCACTTCCCAGGTTCTAGCAATTCTCCTGCCTCGACCTCCCAAAGGGCTGGGAGTACAGGTGTGAGCCACCATGCCTGTTGATTTCTTTCTCTTTCTTTCTTTCTTGACAGAATATCACTCTGTCGCCCAGGTTGGAGTCCAGTGGCATGATCTCCACACACTGCAACATCCACCTCCTGGGTTCAAGTGATTCTTCTGCCTCAGCCTCCCAGGTAGTTGGGATTATAGGCATGAGCCATCACATGCAGCTAATTTTTGTATTTTTAGTAGAGATGGGGTTTTCACCATGTTGGCCAGGCTAGTCTCCAACTTCTAA